GAGGACACTGTCGCTGGATGACAAAAAAACATCTTAAATCCATTGATCTACCTGCCTTTTTTTCAAAGACACAGGCTGCTGGTGTTGAAATGGAGCCTGGCTTGTTTTCTTGGTCCCCCATCACCTCAGCATGGCTCTAGGAAAACTTCAGTTTATGACAGTGGAGTCTGCAGACGTCAGCCCAGTGTAATACCTTTGGTAGGAAGTGAAACAGGAGGTTTGTAGAATGACTGCAAGACTAGACAATCTACACAGACCGCTGCGCGATGCATTTGAATTAGCATATCATATCCCTGAAAAAAACATTTTTCCAGCACCTTGATTGATCCATTAAACCAGAACTGTCACTTATACTTTGTGCAAACAACAAATTATGAAGAAACAAAACAATGTAAAATGAAATATTCAGTGGGGCTCATATGTGTTGAGACAAAAAACAGATTTGTGAATTAGAAGTAATTACCATGAAATCTATTTCCCTTTCTCTTCACAGACAATTAAATCACCGTCTGCGCATGAAACCCAACCAAACCAAACTGGCACTACAATGGCAAAGCAATCAAGGTGAATAACCTGGAAAGACTAAATGAAGTTGAAATCTCTTACTGGAACAACAGGCCCTCTGCATAATGTCTCTTTGTTTGTTGGAAACTGTCCTTTTTGGTGTCCTATTTTTTAAAGACTGTATCTGGAGCTGCTATGGCAACAGCCCTTCAACACGCTGTGAGCTCTTACGAAAGACATTATGGCAGCGGGAATCATTAATGTATTAAAGCATGTCAGGTTCTGGAGGAATTATCATTTCAGCGAGACAACTGCTTCATAGGGCCATCAGAATATATGAAGGCATTGATGTCGGAAGGTTTTTTAGCATCTGAAGGCTAGTGTGTGTTAGTGGACGCAGCTCAGTACAAATCAGTGTGCTGGCATTTAATTTTATGGCTGATTTATCTCCCTAGTCTGGCCCCTGAAATATACCCAGACTGTGGGAAAACAAATGCCTACCTCAAAGCGAGGATGACCTTGAGAGGAAAGCCAAAACCGTCAGCCAGTTGGTGCCAAGTCCCAGATGAAAAGAGATTTCTGGATCTTTCAACCAGCAGAGGGCTGATAGAGGAGGTCTGGAGTTTCACAGAGTTTCAAACTTGGGTAATAAGAGGAAGTTACACTTCATTGTCCCACAAACACTGAAACACACACGCTTTCAACACATTCCAATGATGCTGATAAACTGCTGCCAGCAACTGGGACACGTTGGAGGCTGTGTCTCGAGAGCTTTCTGCGTGAGAGCTTTGAGCGAAGTCTTTGTGTTGCACAGATATGGCTGGTTTGTCACACTGCGGAGAGATCCATTTGGGGCACAGGAAGTAATATTGATCCAGTCCATAGACGAGTGCCAACTTCCTCAACTCCTCGCTGACTTTTGTTGTAAAAAATATGCATCACAGTTACAATTTCCAACAAAGACAAGCCAGGTACAGCATTTTTAGGTGGAGGTCTTGGTGAGTGTTTACTTCCAGCTAACTGTGTGCTCTGCTGAGAGTGCATGTCTCATATAAAAAAACTAAACCAACTGAACACTGGTTCTACTTGACCACTGAAGGCTGTTGGCCTCAAGACTATTTTTGCTGTTTTCATCATCTTACTGAAGGTGGGGTTAAACAGAGTGGTGTTGGAGGAAAGGCCATGGGATCATTAAAAAGACAGAAAATATCATAGGAACCTTCCAATTAGATCATGAGATATCTTGGCCTTAGAGTGGCGCTAGAGGAAAGGTCAGTGCCTGAGCGATAAAAATGACAAAAGATTAGCAGGCTCAGTAAATTGAATTTGCCCATTTTTGCCTTTTCTTGTCTAAAACCATTTTACCCTGATGGTGGAACTACAGCAAAGGTCACCGTGTCCCAAAGAGAATTATGATTCATCTTCTGGAGACCATAAATACATAATGGCAATATGGCCAGTCTTTGTCATGTTGCTCTGGACCAAAGTGCTGGATAAACATACTAAATGACCATTTGACATAGTCATCCGTGACACCAGCGCATACAGTGCATACAGTGCATACAGTGTATATTGCCATATTTTTAAAAGATAATCTTTATTTCTCTCACTCCTCAATCCTTTACTTCACTATGACATGAATACTAATATGATACAATCTTCAAGTCACTATAGAGATTGGAGAACAACTTTAAACTACTGTTCACTTGGTTTTAATATAATATAATTAATATTTTGCTTTTCCAAAGGAGGCGCTGCTCTTGTGGCGACCTTCAGCAGCATCAGACTGCACAAACCACCCTCTTCCCTTTGAATTTGAGACTCTCCCCTCAGGCTGTAGGTTTAGAGTACACTGGTTCAAGTGCAACAGAAGTAAAAACTCCTTTGTTCTCCGTGCAATAACCCAAATTTAGAGATTGTTTTGTGTGTGTTCTTTTTCATATGTTGCATGTACAGAAACAATGTTGTACTTTTGTTTTTGTAGTTTTAGTTCTGTTTGTTTTTTATCTTGTGCCCCCGACTACGAAGTCAAGTTTTCCATTTGGGATAAGAAAATAACTGAACTGAACTTTGTCTTTTCTGATGCAGTTTTCAAGTGCACTTATAAGTAAGTCACCCTCTAATAGTTACTGTTAATGACCTTAAAGCTGAACTTGATTCACTCTGGTCTAAAGGTCTACATACACAATTCCTTTAGTGAAATAATTAGTGCAGTGTTTAACTGTCTTACCTCCTCATATGTTCTGTAAACAGCATAGATTTAAATATTTTTTGGGAAATCTCATTTTCAAGCATTATGTGTTAATGGCCTTATAAAATAAGGAGGGAGAAAACCTCTCCTCCTATATGGCTTTATATGATGTTTAAAATTCCATACAATGTTATCATCACATTATAAATTAGGAAGTTGTTCTAGAAAATGAACATTGTAACTTTCACCTAGCCCTGAGTTAATTCAAGCTCAACATCAAGCTCAGATGTCACTGAGGAAAATATCTCCAGCCAGCAGGAAAGACATTTATTTGTCCAGTGACAGAAATCTGGTGGATTTAATTTCACTGCTGATATACACAGAGCACAAGATAGAGAGGGCGACTGCAGAGATAGAGGTTATGAGACACATTAATTTAAGTGATAGTAAAAATGTGTAATAAGAGGTTCACAGATCATAGTGTCAGACACTGAGTGGAGATCATTGTCAACATGTTAGTGAAGAGACGGGTTCTGCTGCTGGACCAACTGGACTGCAGAGTGTAGAAGGGTGCAGGCTTTCTGTTGATCCACATGGTGGTGCTAGTCTGTTAAAAATGACATGGGGAGACAACATTTTTCATTACAATAAATACATATTCATACACTGTTCAAATATATATATATATATATATGCAAATAAATGGGGTCATTCCAATATATTATATGTATGTTTATTTATAGAAAACAAACTAAAAAACATGCTACAGGTGTTTTAATACATCTAAATGTTTGATTTTAGTACGGCTGGGTACTGTGTAACATTTAAATATGAAACGTTCTTCCATCAACATTTTATTATTGCCAGCAATTGTTTATTCAGTTCACTAAATACAAATGGAATTGTTGATTTGATGCCTTGTGAATTATTGTGACAAGCGTGTAAGCACTTTGTTTAATGAAGTCTGTTCTATATTTGCTCTGCCCTCTTCTTTTTTTTTATTTTTAAAGATGTTTGATTTGCTATGATAGTAATTGTCAGCTCATTGTTGAGTGTGTGTGCATTTCAGTAGGATTTTGTGTAATTCCAGTAATGTACTAAATCTTTCGAAATAAAAGCACAACAATTGGAAAAGTTAATTATTTGCAGACCCTCACAGAATGAGATTCCCCTTAAGATGGTAGTTTAAATGTTAAAAGGAACTTGTGGGATACAGTTCTTTAGGGGTTAGAAGTTGTGTTAAGCTTCTGTAGCAATATGATCTTTGTTCATAGACCTTTTTAATCCAAATTAAATGAAGAATGTTTTGAAGCCAGCAGCAGCTGCAGATGGAGTAACAACACCATTTAATTGATTTGTAACTTCGCGGCACAAATTAGCTGCTTTTTAACCTCCTGTTCCTGGCCCTCTCTTTGCATGATGTACACAGTATTTCTCAGCTGGAGTTAGACATGCTGGCTGTGTGGTAAATGTTGCTATGTAAATGTAACTAATTTGAATATGTACCATATAAAGACCAGCAGAAATATTGAAGTTCATAGAGGGACTCAGGAGCAGAGTCCCTGACTCCACGGGACAGTTCACATTAAGGCCCTCATTATCTTTTTTGACATTGTGCTTTTGTGATGCATATTCTGATAACATTACACTACAATTGATACTTTGTGCTACCACAAACTGTTTGCTACACAGTTGTGTGATTGCCTTACTGGTGGGATGTCATGTAATATTAAGTGGTAGCCTGCAGTTCCCCAAATCACACACACCTGAGACAATTGTCTTAAACTTGTTATTACCGTACTCTTTTTTTCATTTTTTTCAATCCTTTTTTCCTACAGTTAAATATTATATTATTGAGTGATCTACTATGGAAGAGGGATTGAAGGTGTATATATGTATGTATATGTATATGTATGTATGTACATATATATAAATGTATGTATATAGATATATATATAAAATTGTTCACAAAAAAAGATCAAATAGTTGTTGTGCACATAGATATAAAGAATTCGTAATTTCATTGTTTAAATAAACACTTGAGTAGCACACTTGTTGTGAGACCTTCTATCCATATCCATAAAATTAAATATTCAGGCCTACATCGTTTTCATATAGCCTACTGTAAAGATGGTGGGTCAGTGCAGCAGCTTGGTTAGGTATAAACCAACTGCAGACAAGATATTAGATTATAAAATGCTCCTACTATCTAGCATCATTGTGTCGTGGTTCTGAGTTTTATTTTGAAAGATGTAACAGGAAGTTTTATTTTGAAGATTTGTTCTTAATTGGGCCCTGCAGAATAAATTGATCCGTCGATGCGCAGCCTGCCGCTTGTTGTTTACCTGTATCACTACTAAATTATGTCAGACAAAACGGAGGTTAATCTGACTGGAGTCAAACAAAGTAAAGGCGTGTGGCTTGTAAAGGTTTGTCCACCCGCATCTTATTAAATTATCAAATTAATCGATGAGGCTGGTGAGGGGTCACAAAAACATGTACCATGTCGTCTTGTTTATCGGCTACAGGTTTATACTGGTGATTATACACAGCGGACAACCTTTAATTTCAGTGCAAAGTTCTGCTTTTACAAATAGTTGTAACATAAACTTAACTCATCCACCAAAGGATGCAGTATGCAACGACAAACAGTATAATAATAAAAATGGCTGCAGCTTATCTTTGTCGAAATTTAATTATTTTTAAAATCAAAATTCACCTTCAAAGCTCTTGTTGAGTGACATGTTAAGTTCGGTGTGTGTATATCTTGACAGGTGTCCTCTTAAAAACTACAAATGACCTCTTAAATCGTCATTATCTTTCACCAGGTTCCCAAGTATTTATCTCACCAATGGGACAAGGCCACCGAGAAGGGCGAGGTCGGAACCCTTACCATTGGAAAGTATGTCGGTAAAGTCTTCATTTAGAAGCTTTGAATACATGTTTTTGTTGTTTTAGATATGCTTAAATCATGTCAGTGATACGCACCTTTTTCTGTCTTCTCATCCACCTGACAGGGAGCAAGGCAAAACAGAGGTGAGACCGCCTCATATAATCGTGAACAGACCGTTCTTACAATAAACCTGTACAGCTTTAGTAGTTTTAGTAGCACATCAATCGTTAATGATTGTTTTCCCCATTCATACTGCAGACTGTATATTTTTCATTGTACTGTTTTTTTCCCTATATCTTCTTTGGTGTATCCCTTCGCTGTTAGCTGCTGCATTGACCTAACTTCCTCACAGGGATCAATACAGTTTCATCATTTTATATTTGACCTTACCTGATGAATCAAAGAGTTGGTTGCTGATATGACTAGTCAGCAGGGTCCTGACTCAGCTGTGTTTCTCAGGTACATTTCAGCCTGAATGAGGAGCTGACTGCCCTGGGCGCTCTGGGGGAGAAGGATGCATCACTGCAGGTCCCGAGGGATCATCCCTTCACTATGAACACAGTGGGTGGACAGACCATGGCCGTCTTCAGCCACAGCGAGGCAGGTCAGTCTCCAACTCTGCTTTTCTATCCTCCGTCTCTCTGTTTCTTTAGTGCTGGATAATTTAATCTGAAACACACATTTGATGGGGGCCGAAGGGTTCAAACTGAAATAGATTTCACAGCGTGTGTGATTCCTGTGACGGTCCACAGGGCAGTGTGGTTTGTGAGCTAAACAAAAGTCTAGTCTTAGACAGATATATTCTAACACTCTTGCTGCAAGTAGTATTTGCAGATTTGTCAGTTCAGCAAAAATGAGGCTTTACACAAAGTCTGAAATTGGATTTTAAAGATTAATAAAACAGTAAATTTGCATTGATTCAGAATCATTCACATGTTAATTTATCTGATTGAGATGTTGTTGTTGTTAACTCAAACTAAAACCAGCAACAAAACATTTTAGAATGTGTCTCAAAGAATTTTCTGTTACCTGCAGATAAAATGTATTGATTAGACTTGATCAAGATACAGGTCCTGGACCTGTCCTCTTGACAGCTAAAGAAGAAAACCAACAGTCACATTGAATTAACTCAGGATGGTGGCACACGACATTACAGATTTAACTGTCCTCAGTTCTTCTGGTTTCATAGCTTTTCTTACTTTGAAAGAAAGCTGGTGATTCTACATTGATTGCACTGTAAAATTCATGAGAATACTCGGGGGCTTCTGAGTTATGGAGGACGTTTGCTGCCAGGCACGATGTGTCATACATATACATGAGGCAGAAGGATTTGCAGGGATTTGTATCAGACCCAGACCTTTTAAAAATAGCTGCAATTGTATGTTTGGATGTTCATGGGAATGTGACCTGAGAATTGCAATAGATTAATGGGTGTTACTTCTAATAGGATAGATGTATTTGATCGTTTTCATGTATTGCACCACTAAAAGTAAATGATGATGAAGAAGATTTAATCATTATTTCAAGACATTCGATATGATAATTACAGAACACTTATGAATTTAATTGGACTGATGCAATGGAGAAGGAATAAAATAAAACATAAAGGATCCCATAATTCAGTGAAAACTATAATTTGGTGAAATGGTAAATAAATAGCAGGGTGCAGGCTGTTCAAATCAGCAAAATGTCAAATGCAAGTCTGTACCTCCCAGGGTGCCAGTGCTCAAGAACAATGAAATTGACTGCTTCTTATAGTGTTTTTTAAGCATGCAGAGGGTGCATGTAATTAGGTGTTGTTGGCATAAAAACAAACATACTCCAATCATAGCCAAAGTAGTCTGATGCACACATTTTGACTGGAAGGCAAAACTCTATCCAAAGTGGAACGTGTGAAACCAAATGGAGCAGTGTGTGGTTCTCCAGTGCAGCGCTGAGTGAAAGAAGGCTGTAAGTGTGACAGTACTTTATATATAGAGGAGCGAAAACAGGACGTGTTCTGTAATTTTATATTGAGTGATCAAATATGCTCAACTTTTACAAAAGCAGACGGCAAAAATGTGAGGTGGGACTGTTTTGCAGAGAACCCTGAGTGGTTCATAAAGGTAAAACTAATAATAATAATAGTGGTTAAATAGACAAATCCAACACTTTTATAGTGCATGGCATAGGCTTGAAAGTACTGACACGGTCATGGTTGCTCTTGTGTTATTTGTTAGTGGACCGATTGGATGGCAGTGTCAAGATAATGACCTGTTTTTCTTGTCTCAAGTGTTTTCGTTAAAATTATTGACCTGGCTGCTGTGGGTGACAGGAAGTGGGCTGCTGGAGCCAAACCATAATGACTATGGATGGTTATAGATTCAGAAGCCTTTCCCCAGTGCATTCATGTGATTTTTAATTATTTTCCATGTCTGTCGGGCATTTTGTTTTTTAAGTGGCCAAGAGCATGCGGTATGTAACCAACTTTGGTGCGTCTAGCGTCCAGTTCGCACAATAATCACTGGGTTTTTCAGTGACACAATCGGGTTCTTGTCCAGGTTGCAGGTGTTGAAGAGGATGCAATCACCGGCGTGGATTTCGAGGTGGATGTCTATACGTGGAGCAGAAGGAACTTGTCGTGAATCACATTGATATGAATTATGAGAAACAGGAAAACATTAAAACTAATTTCCTCATTAAGCAGCTGAGCAGTCAGTAAAACAAGGTACAGGCAAACGGAGGATCGCATCAATTAGATTATTTCTGTTGGCAGCAGAGCACGTAGCAAAGTAGACGTCACAATACGCTTGGTGGTAGAAGAAATACACTGGGATGCTTTTGTTTTGGTAGATGTCTATAATGACTCATTTTGCTATGGATGTCGTGTAAAGAAAGAGAAAGAAAATAAAGGTTCACCTTGTGTATCCTTTTTTTTTTTTTTTTTTTTTTTCAGCCCACAGAAACTAATCGGTTCCTGTACAACCTTGTGTGTCCTCAGTGGGCAATGTATCCTCCGGCATTTTGAATCTGGGAATATAATGCAATCCTTTTTTATTTTTTTTATGTTTGATTGTTATGTGTAGTACATTTAGTAATGAAAACTGAGCTGAGTAAATATTAGAATCTGGTACAAACCAGGTTCTCTTGTTTGGAACTGCATTGAAATTAATACCAATAACCCTGAACTTGCACTGTAAAGGTGTAGAGCACTGGTTCATCTTCAGTGAAACCCTTTTCCAGCTGTCCTATGTTTGGAAACACAATCAGGACAGTCTGAATGGTAACTTGTTCCTCAGCACAATACACATTAAGTTCTCCTAGAGACACTTTATAATCCAATATATCTGCAAGGCAACCCAGCCTGGTGTTCACTACAGGACTGAAGTCAGAAAGCAGCTCAAAGACACACGTTCAGTTGCTTGTGAGCTGTAATCTGAAATGGGGGAAGCACAGTGAATCATTATTGTTTAGTGACTGTCAGATGAATCATATCATAAGGTCATATTGTCTCAGCGTTTACTAGCAAATTCTGTTAAATAAATCATTTCAGGTATAACATTGTTAAAACTGTAATGGTAGGATTGGAGAAATATTTTGGGCAGTTAATTAACACTGAGCCTTGTGGCTATACTAGCTACTAAGAGGCCAAACATAAACTTTGGTCATCAACGTCAGAGAAAGGATGCAGGTCTCCGGCAGGGACTGCTTTATTTATTTTTTTTATTTTTTCCCTTCTTCAACAAATGGATTCTGCAGTGAATGTTTCTCAGATCACGGCATGTGCTGCACTGTTTTTGTTTCGGTGTTTGATCCACATCCATCAACCTACGGACGCTTTTGCATTTCCCAAATATCTCCAGGCTGAGGATATTTTTAGGGGGAATCGTGGTTCTTTCAGAGGTGTGTCAAGCAGACTACAGACTCTTTTAATGTCGTTCAGAATCTTTCAAAGTAAGAGCTCCCAGTTCAACTCCAGTTACAACATTACATTAAACAAGCTTCTCGCACTTTTATTTTGTAGGCAAAACCACTAAAGAGGAAGTGATTATGTGATAACTGTTGCTGCCATGACTGAGATCTATTTCAGCACCGCTATCAAAGTATTTATTTATATTTTTTGCTGCTATCAAAGCACCATAATCTGACCGCAGGCCAGATATTATTGGTGGCGGGCAGTTTTGGAGAGGGTCCATAATCACAGAGAGAACTAATGTGTTTCCCTTTATCTAATGTATGGTTCATAATGGACTGTGGTGCAGAAACAGCGACAATGTTACACACTCTTGACTTACATTTTCCATGTTATCTGTCAGTGGCCAAGTCACAATAACATGGTTTTACTGAATAATTAAGTAAATATAATTTCTTAATAAATATACCTTAAGAAACCTAATTTCTTGTCGAGACACCTTTTGTGCTCTTTCAGCTCTTTGAAAGGGTAAGGGGCAGTGGTAGACTGGAAAGTTGGTTGCATTTCACAACCCTCACCAGTAGATGCCACTAAATCTTACACACTGAACCTTTTTAAATATTGTGATTTATAGATTTCAATCATATCACCCAACCCTGATGTTGCCTGTGGGATAGAAAGCTTGTTTAATATTGGTGTTCAAATGGCATTTGTCAGTACTTACATACTACTGAAATAGAAAGGGAGAGCATTAGTGGATTAACCAGTCAGCCTTTAATTAGCCTACCCTCGTAGGCATAAATGATAAAATAATACAAAAGTTCCACAGCAAACTGAAGCCTTTAAAATGAAGACACAGTTGAATCAACCCCTCCATAAAACGCTTTCAAGAGAAACTGAACATTATAACCTTCATGAAAGTTGGATTT